ATATGCAGGAAGCAAAGAGGGGAAAAGATACATCTGCAACCAAGTTCCATAAAAATCAGACTTCATGTAATTAAAAATCATGCCCTAAAATAATTTCCCATAAAAGAAAGTTTGTGGGGGTTGCAGTTGTGGCTCTGTGGTAGACAGCTTGCCTAGTATGTATAAGGCACTGGGTTTGATTCTCAGCACCACAAATAAATAAATAAAGGTCCAACAACAACTAATAAAAAATGTTTTTTTAAAAAAGGAAAGTTTTTAAGACTATAAAATATGAAAATGAGAGATTCTATGTTAACATTAAAATAACGTTTTGTACAAACATTACAATATACTAATACCACTTTCCAGATCACAACAGCCCTAAGGTCCTCCCCAGCCCTTCTTAATCACAACTCCCTCCCACCCAATTAAAGGTAACCCCTACACTGACTTTACTGGGGACTTACTGGGGACTGAACTACATTCCCAGCCCTTTTTTTTCCCCCCACATTTATTTATTGGTACATTACAGTTGAAAACACTGATAGGATTTGTTACATATACACAATATACAATATAACAATATAATTTGGACAATATCACAGCCCTTTTTATTTTTGAGACATGGTCTCACTAAGTTGCTAAGGCTGGGCTGGAACCTGTAATTCCCCTGCTGAGGTGGAAGACAGGTTATGAGTATGTGCCACCACGCCCAGTTACACTGGCTTTTATAGTAATTATTTCATGGCTTTACATTATATGTTTTTTGTTTGGTTTTTACCAGATTCATGCATGTCTCCAAACCTAAATATTTTTGAACTTTTTTACTAATGCAGAAAATAAGTACAAACACACACCCATAATCTGTTTCCTTCACTTTGGCCATGAAAAATTTTAATAGCCTTTTAAAGACAATACCCCAATTTCTCTACACTCCAAGGACTCTCCCTGATTTGCTATAAACATTCAAGTAGTAATAATAAGTTGCCAAAACCTTTAAGGCTCTTATTATGTGGTGTGTACTATTCATGTTTTATGTGTATAAACTCATTTAATCACCAAAATAACACGGATAGGTTTTAATGTTATGCACACTTAATAATTGGGGAAAATAAGCACAAAGAGATGAATTAACTTGCCTAAGATCATACTTCAAGTGATGGGGAGCATTCAAACTATGTTGCCTCGCATCCAAGTCTATGTTTTTACCATGATATGAAAGCTATTAATAAAGGAAAATTAAAATCTTACTGGGGCTGGGGTTGTGGCTCAGTAGAAGAGTACTTACGTAGCACACATGAAACACTGGGTTCTATCCTCAGCACCACATAAAAATAAATAAAAGAAAGGTACTGCATCCATCTACAACTAAAAAACTTTTTAAAAATAACATTTGTTGGGCTGGGAATATAGCTCAGTTGGTAGAGTGCTTGCCTCCCATGCATAAGGCCTTGGGTTCAATCCCCAGAACCATGAAAAAAAAAATGCTATCATTAAAATTAAAATAAAAACTGTATGACAAGAGAATATCAGAGTGAGACAGATTTTAGTGTCTCATCCTCCTCCCAAACAGTTTAGGAGCTATACCAAAGATAATCTACTTTGGGTACATGCCTGTAAAGACATATATAAGACAAGAATTCCAACATAGTTGTTAAATGTCCTATAATGAACTATATGGGCTAATGTTAAGTTCTGTCTTAGCTTTGTAATTTACTTAATAAAAAATTCTGGGCCTTGAATAAGTAAAGATTTATTTTTAAATTAAGGCCTCTATTAAGTTCAACATCTCAACACAACCTCAATAGTAATAAGGTTACTACTGAGCTGGTCCTTTCTGAGACATGTTTGAGAACTAGAGTATAATCAACAGCAGTTTCTAATCCAGTCCTGTTATTTTATGTCTAAGCACACAGGAACCCAGAGGAGTACTTATCCAGAATGATATACACTAGTTTGTGGTAGTACTAGGGAAAAAGTCCAAGGTCTTCTGACTTTTTTGTTTTCATACAGATATATAAATATATATATCAGCAATCTAGTTACAAAGGCTGCCAAGTAAGTAAAGCCACCATTGCGAAAAATACTTCTCAATAACTGCGCCTTTCACCCATTTTCTTTCCTTTTCAGACAAAATCTAATAACGGTAGTATTGAGATTCCTTTATTCAACAAGTATTCTACACTTACTATGTGCCCAGCATTGTTCTAGGCACAGCAGTTTACGCAGGATATTCTGCATAGAACATGAAAATAATTAGTCCAGCATTAAGTTTACAGTGCAAAATTTGGGGTATGAAATACACCTATGTAACAAAATACCCGAAAGAAAAATTTTAATTTCCAAAAGAGGTAATTAAATAAAAGGGTTGTGGGCATAATTTGAAGAATAACTAGAACTATGATAAGAGAAGAACTGTAGGATAATATCAGGCATAACAAGGAGAGAATGGCAAAAAACAAAGAACGGACATAAGAGTGTATAGGACTTGCTTGATGAACAGTAGCTAGTTAGTTCAACTGTTAGCCATGGTAGGAGGCATTCTGAAGAAATATTGCACATTCTAGGCTAAAATATTCAAATTTAGTTTTAATTCAGTGAATACAGTGATCCACTGAAGATTTGGGGGGAAAATTGACAAAACTGGGACTGCATTTAAGATTGACTTAGAACAAGGAAAGAGTCTGTGTTTTTACCACCTTATGAAAGTTATCAATGAAGGAAAAATATAAAATCTAACACTGATGGGACTGGGGTTGTGGCTCAGAGGTAGAGTACTAGATAATTAGTCCAGCTCTAGAGATAATATGAGACTGAACAAAGGTAAAAGCAGGTATGAAAAACATTACAGAAGGAAAAATGGTATGTCCTGCAATTGATTGCAGAAGAGGAGAAAGAAATGTGGATGGAGCCTGATGGGAAAAAACTAAGATACAATGATACAGATACAGATAATCTAAGCTATAGGCTGATCTAGATATAACCTATGTACCGTCTAAATTTAAGGGGAAAAAACATTAAAAATCTTATTCTACGTCAGAAAAGCAAAACTTTCTAGTAATATAAACAAAAATGATTTGCAAACTTAGTATAAAAATACTCAAAATTAAAGCAGTGTAATTTGAAAATTGCATGCTCTTCATACATAATATACTTGCAAAGATATACATAAGCCATGTTTTTATTTTTACTAAAATACACATAGCAAGCCTTGGCATTTTAAAAGGCTAGGTATACACTATACATCGCAATAATATTTAACAACCTCAGAAAATTATTTAATGATCAGTAGCAAAATGTAGCTCCTAAGTGTTAGCAAACAAGAACTACAACTGATCCATTATGTAATCACAAACTATCAACTGGTTCAGTTAGGTAACTGATGTTCAGAGTTTGGAAAATCAATTTCTTCTGATTACATAAAATCCATATGGTTTTTCTGCCTAATAGTTAATAAACTGAGCTCCTCAAGAGTAGAGTTTGTGTTCTAGATGCTCTAGATCCTTAGTGCTGAACACTTAAAGAGACCTTTGATAAACGGAATAAACAAAATTCATCCAAGGAATGTTTTCCAAGTATATACCACTTTCATAACTTGGTGAGTATTACACAACAGCAAAGAACTAAAATCCAATAGTAAGTGCCTACTATTCAACAGGTATTGGGAATTACAAAATGACGAATACATTCCTCCTCCCTTGAATTTGGGATTTCTTTATCCTTTTTTTTTTTTAATATTTATTTTTTAGTTGGGATTTCTTTATCCTAACAAGTCAAAAACCATGGGCTTCAACAGAAAACCTTGACTCACACTATATGTGTGACCATCAGTGAGTCTCTTGACTTCTTTAAGCTTCTGGTTTCTCATCTGAAAGAATGGAGAGGATCCAACAAAAAAGAAAGATGGGAGAACAGTATTATGTATGTCAGTTGGCTTTCTACAGCATTTGCCACACTCTGATCAGACACTTCATGAGGAATGATACTGACATAGCAAATACAAGCATTTGGCTGGCTCAACACAAAGCCACCACACCATCCTACCACCACCTGGAAAAACCCTCAAAACAAACAGAACTCCACACTTGTAGGCTAGAACTAGGATTTTGGTATAAGAACAATATAATCTAGAAAAAGAGTATATAAATTTTCACTAGACCAATTTTTAAAAATCAAAAATATGTTACAATTTCTCTGACTTTTGTTTGGAAAACTCCTACTATAATTCAAGACACAGAATACCATTAAAACAGAAACTTTAAATAGTATTTTTGAACAAGGAAGTAATATAACTACTACATTGGAAATAATGCCTCCACCACCTCAAACATTCATTGAAAACAGTTTCAAAATTTTTGATCAACTTTTGAAATAAATTAATAAAACTTGGGGGGATTTATTCAACTGATCAGTTTTTAACTGTCCAAGAAAATAGTATATTTCCCAGAAGACAAGCCATATATTCCCACCATTTCCTCAACTACCTAAAAGAATCCTCACAAGAACAAATAATTCAAGCCAGCATTTCTTCACAGAACAGCCAACTAATACCACACTCCCAAAGTACAAAAAGTTCAAAAGAACCTAAAAATCTTCCCATAAATAAAAAGTACTACCAAGAATGTTTCTAAGTTTGATGGCATCTACTTCCACTTAATTATCCAAAGACAACAAACATGAAAATCCACCATCTTTTATTTGTTATGTGGAATTTATATGACAAGGAAATCTCTACCCTATTAACTTCAGAGCTTTCTTAACAGTTTTGTGTGTGTGTGTGTGTGTGTGTGTAAATAAATAATTTACTGCTTCCATTTCAAGTCAGGATAAAAGTAATTTTTTAAAGGCACAAATAAAAAAGTTAAGACTATCTTCCAGAAAGATGACTTTTAAAACTTCTTTCATTTCTTGTGCAATAAACACAAAATATTCTTAAACTACAACAGGCTCAGGTTCAAATCTTTCAGTAATCAAGATTAAGATTCTATATTCAAATTTTACATTATTAAACACTTTCTTACCTTCTGCTACATCATCATCAACTGCTCCTTTCACCTGAGAAAAACACCATTGAATATCATTCCCTCCTCCAGCTCCTGGAAAAAGAAAACATACCAATTAAATTGAGTTCAGTTCATGTTTACTCTCATAAACAGAGAGATAGTATCCATGGTTGGCATGATCCTAACAGCCTAGTACTGCCCACACAACCACCACCAAGCACACCAATTTGGAAAACTCCCCAATAATTGGAAGTGCATTAAAAACAAGATTCCAAGTATGAAATATTTAAAGGCGTACATTCTATTGTTATTGTACATATGTTCAAAACTTCTCTTCCACTTTCCCTTCTCCTTGAATACAGAGGAGTCTTACATTCAAGCAAGACCTACCAGAAAAAAAGTAAATACCAAAGTTAGAGTTTTTCTTTAATGTACAAAAAGCCTGCAGAAGCATTATTAAAGTTAAAATACCATGAAACACAGAACGAAGAGAAAACTTCGGAAACATTACTGTCTTATTGTGGAGTAATGATTCATATGAACCCTATTGCCCAAAACCTGCACACCACAAACATAACACCCATTTCTTTGCATTCATTACCAGCAAATCACTGGCTCCAAACAGAGGAAAAGGAACAGAAATGAATGCAGAAGAGACTGTCAAAGGAAACTTGTTCTGCTTTCCCTTCATCCTTCAGAATCCAAAGACCTGGCAAAGAATTCTTTTCGCTAATTTATCATCATCTTGTGCAAAACAATTTTAATCTCATTTAGTTATTCAACAAGGTCAAAGAGTAATTTGTTTATAGCAAACTGTAAATCAATTCATCATGTTAACTTTTGTAAAGGTTCCATTATCTATCTAAATACTACAAAAAGCAGAGAAAGTTAGTTTAATATCGATTTCACTTTAAGCTTTATAGAAAAAATGGTGAAAATGTCCAGGATCTATGAAGGATGAAACTAAACTAAACCTATAATTGATTCAACTAGTTAAAGGAAGACATTGGCCAAAAATATACAAAAATAATCCTCAAAGCGATTACCTCCTCTTCCTTCAACCTTATTCCTTGCTAAATATTTCCAACCTGGTTTTCTCTACACGGTTTTTTTTTTTTTTTTTTTTTTTTTGCGAGGTTTAACGAAATCTCTCCTTTAGGCTATTTATATCACTGAACTCCACAACTATTTTAACTAACTCTACCAAACCCTTTTGGGAAAAGGACATTTGCACAAAAGCTAACATGCAAAACGCAAAGTTTAAACTACGTCCTTCGTGCAACTCGCTGTATGTTAAAGGCCTTGCACCCTTTGGTCATAAAGGATAAGGGGAAAAAAGGGGGTGGATGGTTCGCAGCAAAAAAAATTCCCCCTCAAAATAGAGACGAACCCACCGTGGGAGGAAAATACGTACATGCCTCCATTGTATTTTAACTTGTAAAGTGGTCTTCCTTCTCAGTGTAGAATATATTTGTCTATAAACCCAAGGAGGCTTGCAGCCGGGGGAGAAAATAGGAATTATACGAAGGAAGATCCGCAAAAAGAGCTGGGGGCAGGGTGGCAGAGGATACGCCGGGCTCCCGAGCCGTGGGGACAAATCTGCACGCCCCACCCACGCCTCACCCCACCGCCGCCGGCACACACCCCACCCCCACCCACGCCCATGCCAAGGTTCCAACCCTCGTTTTCAAAGCCGTTCCCACCTCCCGCCGACCAGCGCCTCCCCGCCCCCACCCCACCCCGCTTGACCAATTCCCCGAAATCTGAGGGGCGCCGGTGGCTGCACGAGAGGCGCGGCGGTCGCTAGGGGGTGATGGAGGGAGGAGGGAGGAAGCGAAGCCTTGTCAGCGGGCGAGGGCGATTTCTCCTTTACCTGCCATGTTGCACAGCAAATGGTGACCCTGCTGAGTTGCTCCGGGTCTCCGCTTCCTGAACTCACCCCCCTCACCTGGGGATGGGGGGGTAGAGAGGGCGGATGGCGGCGGATGGCACCTGTGGGGGGAGGGGGCGGGGGCCGGGGGAGAAGGAAGGAGGGGCGGGCAAACCAGCCAGCGGGATGGTGGGTTTCACTCTGGGGCTTCCCCGTTCGTGCTCCTTCTCCCGCAGCGGCGGAGGCTACGACAGCGACGGCGGCGGCAGCAGCGGCAGGCGACTCCACTTTCAAAATGGCGCCGGCTGGCCTGGCCAGTGACGTCACCCGGAGGCGGAGCCGCAGGCTGGGCGGAGGGGGCGGGGAGCGGCCGCGCGGGCTCCAGGCCACGCCCCCTTCCTGCCGCGCTCTGGACCCGCCCCCTGCGTCCCCGCCTCCCCGCCTGTGCCGCGCCCCGGCTTGCGAAGCTGGTAGCTTTTTGCGGTTCCTGCCCTCCGCTCACTGCTGGAACCGGTCCGCTGCTGGTCCGCACCTCCGCACGCTGTCCCAAGACCTCGCGCAGTGCCGGAACCTGGAGCGGCCTCAGCTATCCAGTTAACGTGCTCGCCCGCGGGCTCCGTGGGACCCTGAGTCTTTTTAGAGAATACCCGTATTGCTCCTTGAGAAAATGACGCTACGGGTGAGCCCCGAAGCCACTGCCAAAAGGGACTGTGGTGCAGACTCGCTGCCCCGCCAAGGTGAAAGTTCACAGAACTTAAAGGACTTAGCTGGGCTGATTCCATCTGGGTGAATTAAATTACCTTTCATGGGCTCCGGGAATCAAAGCGAGAGTCTCTGGCAACGGCAAGCAATAAGAATGGCTCCTAAGAGAAAACTGGGTTTGTTATGAGCAGTCTGGCTGAAGAAGTGGCCCAGGTCTGTCCAGCTAAAAGTGGTAAAATCAGCAGTTAAGACCTGGGCCCTGAAGCGAGGCTGCTAATTGCTGACTTCAGGGTCTGTGAGATAACAATCCCAGTGGTTGAAATGACTTAATCTGAGTACACCATAAGTGCCAACATTACTAGATTTGGAGTCAAAGAATCTGCAATAGAATTAAGAGTAAAAGGTGGTAAAAATACCAGACATTGGCCAACATGGGATGTGCACTTGGTTGAAAGTTGCTCTAATGGTGCAGCTACTGTAAACTTTACATATCTCATTTAATCTCCACAATACCATGAAACAGATAACCGCATTTTACACACTTGCAAAACATTTTCAGAAACATTCAGAATTTGACCTTGAAGCTGAATGGAGTGATAAAGGCATTCAGAGACCAAGAAGATGAAGTTTTAAGATATTTACACCTTTCCATTATCTGCACTTGCCACCTTATTCTCCATCCCCAGAATTTTTCAACTGTGAAACAATTTTTACGATTCCTCCACAAGAAACAGCTGTACTTTTTTGTCCCATGAATATTTTATTGGTTTTTCCCCCAGCCTTTCTTGCCACCCTTTCCATTTCCTTTGCTGGTTTCTCCTGTTGGGCCACCCTTTAAATGTTAGGGTGATCTGTTTCCATGGCCCCTGCCCTGGGCACCCTTCTCTAACTACTCATTTTCCTGGTCAACTTCATTTGGTCTTACATATGCAAATACCATATATAATACCAGTTATATACCAGTCATTGCCAATTTTAGATCTCCAGAGTTGCGCTCACCCTGGAACTGCAGTCTTACACTTCTGCCTGCCCACTTAACATTTCTGCAGATGTCCAATAAGCATTTCAAACATGTCAGAACACACATGTTGCTTTCATACCCACTCCATACCATGACTGATGCTGTCCCTCTCCCTGAAACACTGTTCACCTGCCACCCTTGTCCCAACACACCCATCATTCTTTCCTTCCTGGGCCAATAAAATTGATTCTTTAAACAACAACAACCCCAGCAGCAGCAGCAGCAAACAGTTTGAAGGAGAGGTACAAAAGATTAAGGACAGACTTTAAAATTAAAAGTTAAAAAGTAAAAAACCCAATTTGGACGTAACTTCCTCCAGGAAGATTTCTGTCATTTTTTCTTATTCCCTACTCACCTTAAGCTGGGTTGGATGCCCTTACTTAAAAGACTTATAAAATCTAATGCACTTCTCCCTTTCTGGACCTGTTAAAATGATCTAAAAACATGTATGTTGTTACTCTGAATTGGTTGAGGGTAGGAAAAATGTCATTCATCTCCATTCTCCAGCTACATAATTCGTTGTATTAATGAATGAATAAGTAAATCTCTCTGGCTTGGGAAGAAAATGACTGAAATGTAGGCTCCTTAAAGCTTGCCATATCATAACCGTTTTCACTCACCCTTCTTAACTCTGAAAGAAAGAGGCATTTTACAAATGATCTTGATCATCTCATCTGCATTTATTAGGCAGCAGTTGGTTAAATATGTAAGTTGCTTATATATAGGTTTGTTCCAGTTACTTCTAACTGGGTACTTCTAATTGGGTTTTTGTCCCTTGAACATTTTTTTTTTTTTTTTTTTTTTTGGTGCTGGGATTGAACCCAGGGCCTGTGCATGCGAAGCAAGCACTCTAACAAATGAGCTATGCCCCAGCCCCCTTAAACAAATTTTTTTAACAGGATTCCATAGGACATGCATTCATCCACATGCTATAATGCAAGCTTTATTTCATGTGAGGCTCTAGCTATAACCTAAACACAGGACCACATGGAAGACACACAAAATAATGGTTTCCTGCAGAACTGGGCTCCATTTAGGCACATCAAGGGGAAAGTCCCTGTGGATTTTCCTGGTGAGATCCAGGAGCACTTGTAAGTCTCGGTGATATTCTGCTTGGGTTCTAGCAGAACTTCCTTTAGTGGAAGAGGCACTAAAGGAATCTACAATATCAGCAGCAGAACAGAATTAACAGGTCTTACCATGGGTTATTGCGAGATGGACTTTCAAAGTATATTACACACCCAGAGGAGAATCCCTTAAGAGTTATTCTTTGCCATGATGAAGCATATTTGAGTTGATAGGGACACAAACCCTCTTCCAAACTCAATGAGAAATGGCACCATTTAGCAGCCTCTGTCCTCCAAGCAGTTAGACAAAGGGTTATCCAGGAATGACCATGAACTCCAGGGTAAGAGGACACACCCCTGTTAGAAATAGATGTGGTTTAGAATTGTGGCAAACTCACCGCAACCATGCCTTGTAACCTGAAGCAGTTGCAAGGGCTCCACAGGGAAATGATAAGCAGTTGTCAGATTTTTACATAATAGCTATGAATTTTATTTAGAAATTTTATTTAGAAGACAATTTCCCAAAACTTTGCATATCTAGACTCTACTGATAATTCACTGTGATGTTCAAGGCATAGAACCCACTATAAAATCACTGATAGCCTACACATGTTTAACAAAAAAAATGATAATGAATCTACGAGGTGGATAATTTCGTAGTCAAAATTTGTAAAAACAGAGGAAGTTATTTGTGCCTCAGAAGCAGGGTACAAAGTGCAGATACAATATGGTCACAAGTATGTACAATAAACACCAAGAATTTGTAAAGTTAAAAAGGACAGGAAGGAAATACACCAAGGTGTTCATGACAATGTCTCTGGGCAGTAACACAATGGGTAATTTTTTTCTCCTTTGTCATTTGAGTTTCTTCAAGTATTCTGTAATTAACATATATTAAAGGGAAAGAATTAAATTAATGTTGAAAGTCCATTCTAATGTTGGTTTAGAGCCTGATGATAATATTTATGTTATAGGTTTTCCACCTTAAAGTTAATGTTGCAGTCTAGTATAACTGTGTGCATGGATGGTTTTAATATAATGCAGAAGCATTTTATTTTTGTTGTTTAAGAAGATACATATTTAATGATGAGGGAAAGATTAGTAAATTCATGCAGTTAACTTCTCTTTATAAATTGCAACCGAAGATGTTTTTATACTCTTCAGGTGCATTCTCCAAGTATATAACTGGAATCTCTCTGGCATAAAAATGCAAATTTGATAAGATTAAACAATTATCCCTGAAATGTATTTTCAGTATTGTTTTATTGAGTGGTCATAAATGTCCTGTCATGTGAACTACTATCCAAACAGTTGATTTGTTTCCCAGTATGAGTCTCCTTCCATACTGAAGATTTTTTAGGTGGCATTTGAATTCAGCTATAACACAGGTATGTGTTTTATGCCTATATAAGAGAAACACATAGGGTTAAGACAGGGAGAAATTTGGGGCATTCATTAACCCAATTCTTACAATGGATATTTGGATTCCTTGTATAACATGCCCTTCAGTGCTCATTCACCCTTGACTTAGAAATTTCAAAGTAGGGGCTGGGGATGTGGCTCAAGCGGTAACGTGCTCGCCTGGCATGTGTGGGGCGCTGGGTTCGATCCTCAGCACCACATAAAAATGAAATAAAGATGTTGTGTCCACTGAAAACTGAAAAATAAACTTTAAAAAAAAGAAACTTCAAAGTAACTGAGAATTAAAATGTATTCTGCTTTTAGACAGCTATCATCACTAAGTAATTCTTCCTAACTTTATACATTATACAAAAACGTGCCTCATTGCAACTTGATGCTGCAGACCCCAGCTTTCCCATTTGTGACCTCTTCGATGTGGATATGAAAGTCATTTAGCTATTAGAATATAACTTTGTCTCCACAATAATCCACCCAATTTCTTCAGGTTTCTTCCTGGCCCAGCTTTGATTCTCAGCATTGCCTTGGACATATCCTTCTGCACATAGTCTAGTTAGCTGCAATGATGCCCAGAACTAAATATAATGATTCAGGCTTGATCATACACCTGAATAAAACTGCTACCAGCCACCTTCTGCAAACATGATCCCTTTAACAGAGCCACCAGTATGTTGGATTTGATTATCACACAGACAATCTCACACATCCTCATTCTGTGATCTGTCTTTCCATGTACAGCTGTTAATTCATATCTCACCAATCTTTTCTCGGAAGGCTTATGTTTTGGATTGATACATAGTCTCTGGAAATATGGTGAATATTTGAATAAACAAATATAAGGTTTTATCTTATTCTCTATCAATTATTTTCTTGATTAGTGAGATTTTATTGGGTATTATTTGATGACTAGGTACTATAATTTGTACAGAGTATCTAAAAAGCCACATAGTTATAAATTCTTTCTGGACAATTATTCCAAAGGCTTTAGCTTGAAATTTGGTAGCAAAATGTTTAAACGCATTTCAAATTTTAGCTTACAAAACTGGTAAGTTCTTGGGGCTATAGCTCAATTGGTAGAGTGCTTGCCTTGCACGCACAAGGCC